ATATAGATTAGTGGTTTCCAGGGGTTGGGGAAAGGGAGAAATGGAAAATGACTACTAATGGATACCAAGTTTCTTTCTGGGATTACGAAAATGTTCTAGAATTAGACAGTGGTAACAGCAGCACAACTCTGTGAATATACTAAACATCACTGAACTATATACTTTAAATGGATGAACTGTTATGTGAATTATATCTCAAAAAACCTGTTTAAAAAACAAAAGAACCACTCTTCAACCTAAACTGGAAAAGTAAGAAATAACAGAAGTGTGGAAATGATAAGAAGCATCATTGGAATCTATAATTCAAAGTAGGGAATGATGAGCATAGAAAAGTGCCCTACTCTTTGGAAAACTGATTTCCAAATCCTTAGAGACAGGAAAACTCAATGACATCTACCACTTATTTAGAGCTTATTAGGTAGATGCCAGGCACTGCATTAAATGTCTTAAATGTATTACCTTATTAAATCCCAGCAATAATTCTATAAGTTAGTTATTCTTGTCCTCCTTTTTATGACAAACCAACTAGCTCAGAGAGGCTCACTAATTTAACAAGGACATAAAGTTAGTAAGAGGCAGAGCTGAAAATCAAAGTTAAATCTGTCCAATTCCAAAACATACATTCTTTAACATGACACTAAGCTGGAATGGAAGAAAAAGGGCAAGCCATAAAAAATAAAAATACAATCACGTGACCAATCTTTAAGAGAAAATAAAGACATACATATGAGTGAGTTTTTTACTAAGTTTAAATTTTCAAAAAGACATGTAAAAATGAATTGAATACAGTAACAGACACCAAAAAATTGTGTCAAAATGTTTAAAATGACTAAAGCAAAAGTGCTGAGATGGAAAAGACAGAATTGCTGCTTGGAAATATTATTATACTGATGAAAAAAAGAAAGTAAACCTAGTTATTCCTTTTTTCTAGTTTAAATTCACCCCATCGCTACAAAAAGAAAAGGTAATCCCTAAGCTGACTTTTGAAAGCTATTTATTGTAACAACAAATGTTTACTGAACAATAATAATAATAGCTAATGTGTAAGTACTTTTTATATATATCAGCCACTGTGCTAGATGCTAAAGACACGGTACCTAGGACAGCCATCAAGGAGTTTATGATCTAATGAAAAAAAGAGAAGGAACAAATGCAGGTTGAGTATCCCTTATCCAAAATGCTTGGAACCAGAATGTTTCAGATTTTGGAATATTTGCACTAATACTTATCCAATTGAGCATCCCAAATTTGAAAATTCAAAATCCAAAATGCTTCAGTGAACATTTGAGTATCATGTTGACACTCAAAAAGTTTCCAATTTTGGAGCATACTGGATTTTAGAATTTTAGATCTAGGATATTCAACCAGTAATACCAAGAAAGTAAAATAAATACTTTAAGAAACAGATGTCCAGGATGCAATGGAACATGCAGCAAGAGCACCTAAAGGCATCTAGGGTAGTCAGGGAGGAGCTTAAAAGAGTGTAGGGAAGGTCTACAGATAAAGGCAATTAGCAAGGCTTATGCAGGAACTGGTAGTTCGATACATCTAAAACACAGCTTGAGAGGGAAATGGACTAGAAATGAGGCAGAATATGAGCTGGAACCACATTACTGATGTAAACAACATTAAAGAGTTTGAATTTACAGCCCTATTAAAAAGTGGGCAAAAGACATGAATAGAAACTTCTCAAAAGAAGATATATGGGCAGCCAACAGACACATGAAAAAGTGCTCAGCCTCACTCATCATCAGAGAAATAAAAATCAAAACCACATTGAGATACCATCTAACTCCAGTAAGAATGGCTATCATTAATAAAACAAACAACAACATGCTGGCAAGGATGCGGAGAAAAAGAAATGCTTCCACACTGCTGGCAGGAATGCAAACTAGTGCAACCTCTCTGGAAGACAGTATGGCGATTTCTGAAAGAACTAGAAATTGACCTTCCAAATGACCCAACAATTCCCCTATTGGGAATATACCCGGAGGAACTCAAATCATTCTACAAAAAGGATACCTGCACACGCATGTTTGTTCCAATTCTATTCACAATAGAAAAAACATGGAACCAACCATGCTGCCCATCAAAGCTGGACTGGATAAAAAAATGTGGTACATACACACAATGGAATATCATGCAGCCATAAAGAGGGACAAACATATGAACTTCGCAGCAACTTGGATGAATTTAGAGTCAATCATACTCAGTGATCTATCACAGAAACAAAGAACAGAGTACCATATGTTCTCACTCATAAGCGGACCTTGAACAATTATCATAATACTGTAAGAAAGGGATTGGCAGTAGTGGGAAACTGCCAGGGGAAGGGGTTGGGATTGGCAGTTGAGGGAAACTGCTAGGGGAGGGAGGGGTACACCTCATCAACAAGGGTACCTGCATAATCGTTAGTATACCTAATCCTGAAGTGTACCTCACATCTTTAAAATAAAAATAAATTTAAATAAATTTAAAAGAATTTAAGTATAATTTCTCTCTCTTGGGAAAAAAAGAGTTTGAATTTATCCTGATAGCAGCAGTAAGCCACTGAAGGGCTCTAAGCAGAGAAGGGACATGGTTAAATTTATGTTATAGGGGGGGAAAAAAATCATTCCAGCCACTCTGAGTAGGATTAGAAAAATATGAAAGAAGCCAGGAAGACCTCAGGCAAGACATGACGCTGACATGAACTAGTATCTAAGTAGATGAATGAAGTAGATATATTCCAGAGGTATGTATAGAGAGATAGGTTTGATTTTATTTGCTTGGGTGTGGGTAGATAGGATGGGGATAGAAAGGTTATGTATTTACTGAACAGAGTGCCTGTGAGACACACAAGTAGAGATGCTACTAAACATTCAGCTATAAAAGTCCAGAGATAATCTCACTGGGTACAGTGGCTCACACCTATAATCCCAGCACTTTGTGAAGCCAAGGTAGACAGACTGCTTGAGCCCAGGAGTTTGGGACAACTGACTGATGGATGGTACTGGATTGATTGGATTCGATAGACTGGACTATAATGACTAAACTGACTGGACTTACTAAATAAACAAACAAATAAATGTCCAGACACAAAGAGAAAGGATCAGGCTGCAGATATCTGTGAACCCTTGGGTACCTAAGGTGAGAACGAAGAGAATATTCAGCAGAAAGACCAAAAGGTTCTAGGATAAAACCCTAAGGCAGAATCTAGAGTAATGCTAACAATTAAAAGGAAGCCTAAGAAAGGGGAACTTGCACAGAACATGGAGAATTCATCCCAAAGGGCAGACATAAAACTGGCAGAATATGGAATCAGGGAAGCTAAGGAAAGAGTTTCAAAGGCAAGAAAACCAACAATGCTACTGCTTAAAGAAAACAGTCCACTGGATTGGGCAATAAATACATTCATATCCTTGTCGGAACAATTTAATGGTAAAAGCCATGGATGGACTCAGGAGTGAGTAGCAGAAGTTGATGAAATAGAGCATGGACAATTCGTTCAAGAAGCTGGGTTATAAAGGGACAGTGAGAGGAAAATGAGTAACTGAAGGACATGGAACCAAGACAAGGCATGTTTATGTATACATAAGCCAGTGTGCACGAGTGTGAATGCATCTGAGCCTGTGTATGGTATACAGGTGTACACATAGAGGCATATGTATTATAAATCAGAAGAAAGCAGACGAAAGAATTTGAAGTAATAAGTAACAAAAATCAAAAAACCAAGACTCTGAGAAGGCAGAAGGTGATGCGCTACCAAGCACAGGTGAAGGAATTTGTCTTAAGGAAAACAGCACTTATAGGAAGGACCAAAAAAGTTAAGTGTAACAACAGGTAAAAAGCATTTTCAAATCTGGGGCATCAAGTTGAGGGAATTCTCACTTGATGGTTCCTCTTTAATGTGTTATTTAGGAGATGCGGCCATCTGCAGGAAGAGAAAGGCGGTATACCAGCAGAGGTTTGAGAAGAGTGGGAAATGAAACAGCCATTGCAGAGACCAGGACAGTGTACCAGCTAAGGAAAGAATGGTCTGCAAGTGCAGACATTCCTGTCGAGGTTTGTGACCAAGAATTTAAATAGGCACCAATCTGCAGGGAGTGTTTTTCCCCAAGTGCAGCCATAAATAGCCTGGAAACAGCATTTTAAAAGGCAGACTGCTGCCTTCAACCAGGACTAGTGTTTTGACAAGGAGATAAATAAGACAGAATAGTGAGACAAATGACTCAAGGACACCTGTAAAAGACACCTGTAACGAGGGACTGTGGAATCTAAGCTGATTAGGAAAACAGTCAAGACAGGAAAGAGCAGTTAGCAAAAAAAAGTAGATGAGATGTACGGATTCGAAAACCTAGTAAAGTTAAAGTGTACAAAAGCATACTAGAAATAAGTAAAAGAGGCAAGAAAGTTGTGGTTAGAGAATCAAATGTCTGAATTTATTATTTCAGAAGCAGAGCAATTCTTGGTGACAACAAGACGCAGTGGCTCTGAGAAAGGATGCCTGGAATGGAGGGAGAGGGTCACTATGTGGAAAACTGCCAGGTGGACAAGAAGGGAGAACAAGGCAAACAGAAGGTATAAAATAGTGTGGTGCTCAGAAAACTGCAAGTAGCTTGACCTTTCTAAACCTTAGTTAAGAGGTATTGAGGATGGAGAAGGAAAGAACTAGGCCATTTATATCATGGTAAAGAGTAGAGTCTTTATCTGGAATGCAATTCGCTCAGAATAAGAGTTGTCTTCAAACATCTGAATGGCTATCAGACAGAAAAATAATTAGACCAGTTCTAGGAAACAGGAGGGTGAAAGCTACAGGGAAGCAGACTAAAATAAAGGAGAATGTTCTAATGACTAATGATTATATAAATAGGTTGTCTGGAGAAAAAATGTAAACTTCATTGCTAGAAGTGTTGATGCAAAACTCAATACCAATTGGCCTACACTGTCATACAAAGAATCAAACAGGGAATCTTTAAATCCCTCCCATCTCCAAGGAGGTAATAAGTAACATCACTTACCAATTCTACACCTATTACTCCTGCACCAATAACAACCATCTTTTCTGGAACTTTTTTTAAAGATAAAGCACCTGTGGATGACACTATTGTGTCTTCATCAATCTGTAATAAGAAAAACAAAAGATACCACCAAAATTATTTGGAAACACTCAGTTTAGTTGACTTTGTATATTCATGGGTTCTGAATTTCCAGGTTCAACCAACCATGGATTGAAAACATTCAGAAAAAAATAATTGGACCAGGCGTGGTGGCTCAGACTGTAACCCCAGCACTTTGGGAGGGTGAGGCGAGAGGACTGCCTGAACCCAGGGGTTCGAGTCCAGTCTGGGCAACTTGGCGAGACCTCATCTCTACAATAAATCAAAAAATCAGCCGGGCGTGGTAGCGCATGCCTATAATTCCGGCCACTCAGAAGGCTGAGACAGAAGGATCGCCAGAGCCCAGCAGGTAGATGTTGCGGTGGCTGGGAGCGGCCACCGCACTCCAGTCTGGGCGACAGAGTGAGACTCCAACTCAAAAAAAAAATAAGCTGGGTGTGGTAGTGCATGCCTGTGGTTCCAGCTACTTGGAAGGCTGAGGCGGAAGGAAAGCCTAGCCCAGCAGGTCGAGGCTGCAGTGAATGTGCACTGCACTCCAGTCTGGGCGACAGAGTGAGACTATCACTCAAAGAAAAAAAAAATTGATAGTTCTATCTGTATTGAACATAAACAGACTTTTTTCCCTTGTCATTAGTCCCTAAACAATATAGTATTAACAACTATTTACATAGCATTTACACTGTATTATGCATTGTAAGTAATCTAGAGATAATTTAAAGTATACAGGAGCAAGTACATATATTATATGCAAACACTGTATCATTTTATTTAAGGGACTTGAGCATCAATGGATTTTGGTATCCAAGGAGGGTCCTGGAACCAATCCTCCACAGATACAAAGGGACAAATTTATTTATAAACTGTGATCTCATTCAGTAGAATCACTAAAAATACTACATCATTTATTTGTTTTCAGGTATCTATAGCTTCTATCCATATATCCGATTTCATCAACTCCCATTAAAAATACTGGTTTTAAATTTTATCATTCAATATTCCAAAACAAAATGATCAATTTTAACTTCATACTGATTCTTAATATAAAGTGCTTTATATCTGGTCAAAATCACTGCAAAATAAAGACAGGTAATTTCCCAAAGCTGAATGACTGTCAAAAATAGTATTTCAGTCAGAAATTACTTATTCAATGTTCACAGACAACATATGTAATTTGTAAAACATATTTCTAATAAAAGGTGTAACAGTTGTAAATTATAAAGCATACATACCGTGATTCCAGGAAAAGGGGTAACTTCTGAACCTGTAGCTATAAGAATGTTCTTTGTATCAATAACCTGAGTGCTGCCATCGGCTTTCGTAGCAGTGACCTGATTTTTGCCAGTTATCTTTCCATATCCATTGACATGAACAACCTTTATAAAATAATGTTTATAAATTCACGAAGTTTAAAATAATCTTTTTGATTAAAAAAACATAATAAGAAAAATAAATACCCTGTAAGTAATTTATCTAAAACAAAATGATTCCTTACTTAGTAATGCTACACATGGTGCAGCAAAAAAATCTGTTATATATATCAGGGAAATCTATTCCAGGTTAGCAAACTGTTTTAAATTAAATAAATTATCTCCCATAGCCAAGTTCAAATATCATCACTCTGTTAGCATAATGCAATGTCTAATGTGTATTCAAAATAAAGAAGTCTGAACATTAAACACTGACCTTATTCTGTTTGAATAAATGGGCAATTCCACCTGTTAAAGCTTTGACTGCAGTACTCTTCTGCTCCATCATCTTCTCTAAATTCAAGCGAACTTCAGACACTGTAATTTGTTAAATAAATCTTTAGACCTTAGCTAAATTCTTGAAGCAATGGGTAGTATTTTTCACTAACCAAGGTCTGGAAAATTTCAGTGTAATGCTTATAAACTGTATAAAAGGCAGAACTAAAATTTTCAAATTTAATAACTGACAGTGATCATAGCTGACAAAAGATCAACAACACCATATCACAATAATAAAACCTATCAAATGCTATAAAATGTTCACCCACAAAAAAAATACAATCCCAAATAAAACATTATATCCCACCATGACAACGTATTCACCAAACACTTTATAAGTCTGGATGATATTTCAGTATAAATGGCAGAATAAAAACATCATCTGAAATTTTAAACAAAGGAAAATGCTAAATTTCATTTTTAAAAACTAATAAAAAATACATAGTTGAACATTTCAAATACAGAAGCTTAACATAAAACAGTTTAATCACCTATGTTTTAACCACTCAACTACCTCAGAAGAGAACTCTAAAACAACAATGTAAGACAAAAATGGGCTGGGTACAGTGGCTCCCAGCACTTTGGGAGACTGAGGCAGACAGACTGCTTGAGCCCAGAAGTTTGAGAACATCCTGGGCAACACAGCAAAACCTGTCTCTGAAAAAAAAAAAAAATTAGCCAGGTGCGGTGATATGCACCTGTATTCCCAGATACTCAGGATGCTGAGGTGGAAGGATTGCCTGATCCCAGAAGGTTGAGGCTACCATGAGCATCATCGTGATCATACCACTGCACTCCACCCTGAACGACAAAGTGAGACCCTGGCTCAAAATAAATTAATTAATTAATTAATAAATAGAAGGATATCTCAGAAATCAGCTCATGCAACAACCAACATATATCTTAAGAGATAAGGAAAAGGAGACTTCAAGGGACTTGTGGTTTATCTAAGGTCACAGGGCAGGAATGCAAAGCTTTGCTTATACTGCAGGTCTCCTGCCTACTGTGTCTCTTCTTTCCTTACATCATTTCACTTTTCCTCTAATTGGATATACATCACCATTATTCCCAGTGGACTGCCTACACAGTCCCTTTCAGACACCTGCTGCTATAAAGAAACAAATGAAGAAAAGGTAACACCCCAAGGTATGTTTAGGTCCAACTCAGAACAGACTACCCTTCTGGAAGCATCTGTCAACAACAATAATTGGAAACAAAATTGAAAGTAGCCGGAATAAAATACATCAGGAAACAAGATATGTTATGAATGTCTTCCTCCTTTTCCATTATGCCCTATTCTTTCTCTACTCTAATGTTTCTATTATCCACAGTTTGGGGAGGCCTTCCCTTCTTTATCTTTACCTGCCCGTAGCACTCAACCTCCCCAGTGGAATCAACCTGGAATCAACTGGAATCAACCTCCCCAGTGATCTCCAAGTTTCAAGGAAACAAAAACTGACTCTTTACACACACAAATACAGTCTTAGGCAAAAGTTGGCAAAGGAACAGAAGATATGACAGAAATCTGAATTTTTCAGGGTCAGGCTTGGCTAGCACTTGGATAGGAGAAATCTGGACTTAAGCTTTCTTAAGTAAATCTCTACATTTCTGACATTCTTTTTCTTATTCCTCCCTCACTAAACGCCTATTATATGTACATTAGACACGTATGTCTTTAGTTAGAAGAGTCAAGTCAAGCAACCTAGCAATATCACTAAGTATGAAAAGTATACTTACTTTCAATTCCTCTAGATGCAAAATCTTTTCCATGAGCCATATGGTAATAATGAGAGTTATTCAATAAAGCCTAAAGGAATAAAAAGATGAAATTATCAAACATTCATAAACAGACTACATACAATCAAAAAGCACTTATGATATAAAATTCTCTTTCAAAAGTTCTCACCTCAAAAAATGGTATCTGAGGTGATAAATATGTTAATTAGCTTGATTTAATTATTCCACATTATATTCATAAATCATATCACTTCATATACCATAAATATATACAACTATAATTTACCAATTTACAATAAAAAATTTTCTTAAAAGTTTAAAAAAAAATCTACATGGAATAGTACATAGGACTATACCAATGCAGTTTTTCTTCTTATGTAATTAATCAAAGACAAACAATGGTGTGAAAAACATTCCACAAACAAGAATAAAAAACAAAACAAAAACATCTTTACTGAAAAATGAAGGCAAAAGTACACACTTCAGGATGGCAGGTGAAAAAGGCAGACATATTTACCTATATAAAGAACCTAAAAGAATTTAATGTCTATTATCTGTTTCATTAGTAAAGGAACAAGAAAAAAAAAGGAACATAAGAGTCCGTTTGAAGAGAAACCTCAGCATTCTGACACAAGGAAGCTATTTCAGGAATGTGTGGCAGACTGGTGACAGTACTCTAAATTTTACAAAAGAAAAACAAGTTTTATGATCCTTGGATTATTTTTTAGTAACTGCATTAGTCTAACCTAGTCTCACTCCATTCTTCTAGTTGGTAGCTAACATCAACAAAATCTCTGCACTGTACAAAACATATGCTCACCTTAGAAGGAATACAACCAACATTCAAGCATGTCCCACCAAGTGTTTCATTTTTCTCAATGCAGACTGTCTACAACCAAAGAAAACATTATTTAACTGCATATAACCTAAAAATTTCAATTCACTCAAATTTCCAGTGTATCTGTCTTAAATCATTTACAAAACAAGCTACTCAAGCTTTTTACAGAGACTAAAATATAGAGTCCTTTATAAATTAGCATTTAAATAATACTAAACTTTTTCAGGTTAACCCCAAAGCAAATTATTCTAAAAGATATTTTTGTTTGCTTCACAATACCAAATATATGCTTTTATTTCTATTGATGGTCTTCCAAAGTGTGATTACAAGCTAAAATGAAAAGCATTAGGAGAAGAAAAATAATATTCACCTTCCATTCCAAGAGAATACTACAACCAGATGAATCAAATTTTCATTCATTAGTCTCAGACTTACAAATACTTTAGAAGTTAAGAAATTATTTACCAAGTTTTTACCTGCAAAGTACTGTGAATATATGATCAGCCCTTCCCAAATTAAAATGAATCAACACCTAGTTTGAGTGTCAACCTTACCTTGAAGCCTAACTGGGCAGCTTTAATAGCAGCAACATAGCCTCCAGGACCAGAACCTATAACTGTTACGTCAGCATCAACTACAATAAAAGCAAATTGATATAAAACAGTAAATTGTTCAGTATTTACCAAAAACAGCTCTTTAAAAAGCATACAAACAACTTGATATTCAAACCTCCAAAAGACAACATATAACCAGAATTTCCTCTACATAACACTATTTTCTTTCTAGGTTCTTGTCATTCTTTGATGCTACTGAAAATGGCACAAATTTTAAATTCATTTTCTGTTATTTTCTATTCAGTATGACATGGAAGCACAACTGAGTTCTGTAATACTAACCTGTACTCACTGACCTTGCTAAATTCTGTAGCTTTAATGATAAATGGCAGGAATTCAGCAACACTGGAAGACAAGTCTATATAAAGAAAAGAGCCTGAGCTTTGGAATCTGACATACCGGGCTTCAAATCTCAGTACTGTCACTTATTATTGTCACCCTGGCCAAGTGACTTAACCTTTCTATAGTAATATATTTTATTGTACTTTCTATAGGCATAATATCACTGCCTTCAATGACTGATATTAGGATTAAATAAGATAATTTTATATAATGCCTTAGTATTTTCAATAAATTTAAGACTAATTGCCTCTTTCAGGTCCTTAACCTTCTGAAATATCAGGAAAAAAAATCAGCTTCCATATAATGCCTAACATATGTTTTGAACTTCATTTTCATATTGATAAATTTCATATATTTTAAGATAATAAGCTAACCAGAATATTCAATTATCTATTACAAATATGTATCATAAAATGATAAAAACTGAAAATTGACCTTGATTGGTAGTCTTAGGAATATAATAATTATAATATAAATGTACAGGCCAGGCTCGGTGGCTCAGCCTGTAATCCCAGCACTTTGGAAGGCCAAGGTGAGTAGATTGCCTGAGCCTGCGGCTTCGAAGAAAAGGTAACATCCCAGCCCAGGCAACTTGGCGAGAGCTCGTCTCTACAATAAATAAAAAATTATCCAGGCATGGTAGCACACACCTATCCTTATGGCTACTTGGAAAATGAGGCAGAAGGATCACCAGTGACCAACAGGTTGACGCTTGGGTGGCTGTGAGTGTGTGCCACTGCACTCCAGTCTGGGTAACAGAGTGAGACTCCAACTCAAAATAAATAAATAAATGTACAAATAAGCCCAATTACTCTCACTCTCCTCAATCCAATTTCAAATAGAGTAACAATGACTTTTAAGAGTTAGGAGACAAGTCTCCCTCCTCCCCTTCCCAATTCCAACTGATCTAGCATTTAGCAGTTCATAACCCATATTCACAGTTCTGATTCTCAGAACTTCCTTTAAGGAAGCTAACGATGGAATAATAAGACATTTCACAGAAGAAACAAAGAGGTTCAGAGAGGTCATTTAACTTGTCCAAGGTTATCTAGCAAGTGAGTGCAAGAGACAAAACTAAGTTTTTTTAACTCTACTTCCATTATTCAATGCTATTCCATGCCCGAATCCTAGAGAACAATAATCAAGTTTTATAATTCCTAGCAATGTGACCTTATGAGTTATTTAACCTGCTTATCTTCACTTCCTCATCTGCAAAAGACCACAAAAAATCTGTCATGTGACAGAATAAAATAATGTAAGTAATTTAGCATAGTATCTGCAACATACACAGTAAGTATTCAATATATAGTTACTATAGTCTGACCTACAAAGATAACAACCTGTGACACCCCCTCCCCAAAAACACACACCCCTACAAGGTGGGAGTGATGCCATGATTCCAAAAACCCTTGCCAGCCTCAACAGAATCACAGAACCTCTGTGTTGGTAAATGACTAACAAGTTATTCCAATCAATTTTCCACAAAATTTAAGAGTCCTTCCTACTGAGTAAATGAAAGTACTGAATTCTCCTTGGTTATATCAGATAACTGGAATTACTCAATACATGAAAAAAATATAAAACCAATCCAATACATGAAAAAATAGTGCTTCAATTTTTACTGATCCATTTGTGCTATTTGGGCATCCTATTTGGTTCTCTGATTTATATTCAGAATTAAGTATATAATAAAATATAAAGCTACTTTCAAATCTTGAACCAAATAATGATATACACAATATCCCTTCCATGGCTTTTTTTTTCAGAGATGGGGTCAGCTCTGACACTCGGGCTGAAGTACAGAGGCATGATCATAGCTCACCGCAGCCTCAAACTTCTGGGTTAAAGAGATTCTTCCACCTCAACCTGCTGAGTAGCTGGAACTATAGATGTGCACCACCAAGCCTGGTTAATTTCTGTAATTCTTTTTTTAGAGATGGGATCTCATTATGTTGCCTAGGCTGGTCTTGAATTCCTGGTCTCAAGTAATCCTCCTGCCTCACCCTCCCAATGGCTAGGATTACAGGTGTGAGCCACCACACCCAGTTCTAATTTTTAATTTCACAGTGATGTAAATACAATCTACAAAACAGGTTTTCTTTGCCAGATACTTTCCTGATTAAAAATGTAAGTTTATTGACCAGGTACAGTGGTTCACACCTGTCATCCCAGCACTTTGGGAGGTCGAGGCAGAGGATTACTTGAGCCAAGGAGTTTAAGACCAGCCTGGGCAACATAGTGACACCTTGTCTCTACAAAAGAAGATTCAAAATCTGAGCTGCACATAGTGACATGCACCTGTAGTTCCAGCTACTTGAGAGGCTGAAGCAGAAGGATCCCGTAAGCCCGGAAGGTTGAGGTTGCAATGAACAATAATCACACCACTGCACTCCAGCCTGGGCAACAGAGAGAGACTCTGACGAAAAAAATAAAATAAGGTTTAATGAATAAATTTAAACATGGAACAGCAAAGTCAAAAAACAAAAACCAAAAAACACCCATCCCTACTGCCATACAGCCCAGAGAAAATTGTTTATAGGTCTTGCCAAACTTTCTTCCATGAAAGTTTTTATAAAACTTAAATTTTGCTATATACTATTTTATAATCTTTTCTCATTTTTATATGCGCATATATATTTGAGTCTATATATTATTGCAACAATTCTTCAAAAACCTTTTTAATGATTATATATATATTTGAGTATATATTTTATTTTTAATCACTGATGTACTACCATACATACAGTAAATCCATGGTACAAAAATGAGAAATCAATTTGGTTTGGAAAAGTACTGGTTTTAGCAAGTAAAGCTAAAAGAAGTAAGCAAGAGATAAAAGTAACTGTCATTTCCAGCAAAATGGTGATGGAACAGGGCAGACTATGAAAGTCTCTGCAAAAGCAAGTGTCCAAAAAGACTCTCTGCATGAGTGGGTGTGCGCCGGTGGGTGACTGAAAGTCTATCTGAGGAGAGACTCAAGTTCATGGACCCGATGCTCTCCTCTGGAGGTGACTGTAATGCCCCACCGTCCTGAGATTGGAGCCCCCAGTGCACAAGATTGTCTGCTGTTCTCGTGACTCTCCTGAGAAGAAGCAGAAAGCTGCTGATCCTCACCACCTGGCACCCAGCCCACGCCATCACCTGTGACAGCAGAGCAGCACAAGCCCCAGGATTGTGGAGAGCAGGTCATGGAAAGCTGGAAACGAGTCCCATCACTGGAGAGGAAATGCCGATTGGGGCCAAAATCTCTGTCCCAGGACCAGGCAGAGACCCTCATTGCCCCGCCCAGCTACGCCCAGTCTCCAGCCTAGGACCTAGAGGTTATCTCCTCATCAAACTCAGGAAGACAGATGCCCCTCCCCCACACTGGAAGAGGCACAGACAGGTCTGATCTGAGTGGGAGCCTTGACAGCAGCAGCAGCAAGTCAGTTGAGTCCAGATCTGATCCACTCTCCTCCCACAGTAGTTCATGGGGCATCTGACCCACACTGAGAGCAACCCTATCAGCCTGCGCTGAGAGCAGAGGGGAGAGGCTAAAAGGAAGCTGAAGTTAGAGGAACGGCCTCAGAGAGAGTTTTGTTTTTTTGTTTGTTTTGCTTGTTTCTTGGGGGTATTTTTGGTTTTTTTCCTCTTCTTTCTGTTTTTGATTACATTTTTGTGCTTGCTTTGTTTCTGCTATTTTAATATAGTTTTTTTATTAAACTTCCTATTTTTGTATAGGTATTTTTGAGGGAAAGTAAATCAACAGGGGGGTTTTATCAGCTTGTGTGTTTGTATGATTGTATGTTTTTAAAAAATCTTCTCTTTGTTTCTCTGTTCATTCATTAGTAGGTACACCTGTCTCTTTTCCCTCATCTTTTCTCTCTCTCCATCTTCCTTTCGTCTTCCTCCTTCCTTTTACCATTCTTTTTCTTTTTTTTAAACCTCATTTTGCTTTCAGATAGCAAACATAACCCCACTGCATGGTCAGACTGTAAGACGGTGGGAAGTGGGTTCCAGGGGACCCACACATCTGTCAGCGAATAGTGGAATCTGCAGATAATTTCTGAATAACAGCTCCTCCCTCAATTAAATCTCAAAACTGCAAAAAGTACAGCCCCCCACCACCAGTACAGTTTCAGAATTGAACAAAGCCAGAGGATCTACATAAGGAAGAATAGGAGACTGAGCAAACAGAAGTAAAAGCTCCCCCCCATTACCGAACAATAGAATTAAAGAAGAGGTTAAAAAATGGGGGAGGAAAATCTACACAAATGAGAAAAAACCAAAGGGAGAATATGAGTCTCACACAGATACCTGGGAGGTCAACCATTGAGAACACAGACTTCGGAACGCAAACAACGAAGAGCCCCCAGAGTAACTAGTCTCAATCCACAAATCCAGATATCAAGATATTAATAGAGAGAATAAATAGAAATGAGGAGAGCAAGAAGAAAGAATGAAGGAGTTGATAACTGAGATAACAGCAATAAAGAATACAGTGAATGAAATAAACAACAAATTGATAAGGATGAAAAGCAGAGTTAATCAAGCAGAAGAAAGAATCTCAGAGCTTGACCAAAATATGGAACTAACCCAAACAGTTAAAAACACAGAAAAGAAACTTAAGAAGAAAGAACAAAACCTCCAAGAGATGAGCGATTCTATCAAGAGGCTGAACCTAAGATTAATTCAAATC